CACCAGGCCTGAAGGCGCCCGCAGAAACACATACACACACATGCAAGCAGGGAGAACGAGGGACAGCAATACAAAATATATATTATGTTAGTCCATAACTGCTCAGGGATCCTGGGTCGCTCAGACCCAGGACCCTGACATAAAGTTTTTCTTTCTTTCTCAGCACTCTCACTTAATGCTAGCATAATGCTTTTACTGTCCTTTTTTTTTTCTTTTCTTTTTTTTTTTAAGTCTTAGTTTTATTTCAATCCATATATTGTTTCACTGGCTGTTGACCAGCCAGACTGTTCTCTTATTACTCATATTGTTCTTCACCTCAGTAGTTCTTGTAATTATCAGGTAAAGATGGGCATGGTGAAACCCTGTGCCTTAGTCAGTTCCTGCCATTTGATGAAGCCTGTATCAAGGACTTGGGTTAATGGCAGATGCCTGACCTACCAACACGCCCTGCCAACTCAGCCAGTGCCCACACTTCAGCATACCTGTGAGCGCTACCTCATACTCCTGGAGCCCTTTGTGGAGGTGGATGAGCTGAAGAGAACAAAACAGCTGGTTCAAGAATTCCTGAAACCAGGAGGCGTTGGAGAAAAACTGCAGAAAGGCCTAGAAAAGAAGGCTCTCAATACTGACAACTGGGTAAGCCTAACAGCAGCACTGAAGGGGAGCTTATAGGTGCGATTGTTATGAAAGCTCACAGGGAGCTCTGAGCCTCGTATTCCTTTAGCTTTAAGTAGTGACTTAATTAATTTATCCAAGTCTTCAAAACTTGACTTGTTTTTTTTTTTGTTTTTTTTTAAATTTGATCATTGTTAACAAGCTTTCAAGCTGGTAAAATTAAACTCTTACTGAAAAAGCCCTTACCTGGTCCTATCTTAGCTAAATGTACACAAATTCCTAACCTTTTTCATTTAATAATTCTCAGTTCTTATCAAGATTGCAGAGGAGTGATAAACTATGTTTTCATTGGTTCTCACAATGAACTCGTCTTTGTGTTTGTCTTACTAGACCTGAGTGCAACATTAAAGAACGCTGACCATAGCATTTTACTAGAGAGAGCAGAAGCCTTCATTGGTATTAAAAGAAATGTAATGCACTGATTTAAATGTATTTATATGATAAATTCAAATTTGTTCATAAATTAGGAGTCCTCCTTGCACTCACATACTTAGAAGTTCTACAGGGCTTTGTAGTGAAACTAATACTTAATGTTATAGATGTTTCAATTTGGTAATATTGGAAAACGCAACATATTTTTATTGCTATGCAGATGGTGCCCAGCTATATTGATCCATGAAGCCAGATAGCACAAATAAAAAAGCTTTTCTATTTCTAAATTCTATTTCTTAGGCCCAAGCCTAAAAGCTAAAGAAAAAATGGTGTCTAATTAGATACTCACTCTGGATGGCTTTATCCCTGGCCTTCAGAAAGACTGTGTTCCACTGAATTCCCAGCAAACATTTTTTCCCCCCATATTTTTGAAATTAAACGCACTAAAGTTATTTACATTTATATACATTTAAATTCTGTCCCATTTGTTACACAGTGGACCTCTGTGACTGTTAGGGTACCTGGGTCGTTGACCCAGTGGTTTCAGTTTTGTACTTTTTTTATTGGTGTTCTTATCTTAGTTTGTTTTTGTGAAGGTTTAGGTTTTGCATTTCTAATTTTTCCCCAGTTCTTCTTGATGTTTGATTATGTAGTTCTCAGGTGTGGGTTTCCATGCTCCCTCTATTCTGTGTCCAGTCAGTGTCTGTGTCTGCCCTGTTCCCACATCTCTGTTACAGTGCCTACTTGTGAGTCTGTGTCTATAAGTTCAGTCTGTTTCCTGTTTTATTTTGAAGGTCCATGTCTTATGTTAATGTATCTGGTTTTGCTTCCCTTGTTTCGTTAGGCCTGATTTGCCCCAGCTGTGTTTCCCTCCTGTTATTCATTCCCTGATTTCTCCCTCTGTGTATTTAAGCCCTGTGTTTCTGTGTCTGTGTCGTGATCTATCCTTATCTAGGTGTGTGTTCTCTCTGCTTAGGTTTACCTTGGCGTCTCAGTTTTGTTACTTTTTGGAGTTCAGCATTAAATGGTAAATGGCCTGTATTTGTATAGCGCTTTAATAGTCCCTAAGGACCTCAAAGCACTTTACACATTCAGTCATCCACCCATTCACACACTGGTGACAGCCACAGCTGCCCTGGGGCACACTGACATTAAAGCTGTATTTAAGTTCACACTTTGTCTCTGACTGTCTGCATTTTGGGTCCTTTTCCTGCCTGCACACAGCTTTCACATAACAGTCACTCTGTCTCCTGTCTGTTAGTCAACCTGGCTATATACATTTAAGTACCTCAAGTTGTATGCTCAAAATTCACAATACTCACTATAGAACCTTTTTTTTTTTTTTTTTTTTAAATTATGACTTGATGTCAGTGATATAGATCTTCATAAATTGCAGCATAAATAGATCAACAGATACACTAGTTGAGTACTACCAAGTTCTCAATAAAAGTGCAGATGTTATCAACTACATTTAACTTATTGTTGCACAAACACAATCCTGAATTTTCTGGATGGACTGTAATACATTCTTGCACTTATCTGTGCTTAGTTAACAGACTATATGGTGCAGACTGACTATCTTGACAACCGTCTGCCTGTGGTGGCTTATTCAAATATCAGTGCTTGCTGTCCCCGAATGGACTTCAGGGATAAGCAGGGACAAATAAGGTGAACTATATAACTGTATACTGCATTGTGAAGGGGGGTGGAGGGGACAATAGATTCTGAAGGTCTGAATCTTGGCCGTTTCTGATTGCTATATTATGGACGTTGTATTATGTCAATGCCATGCAAATGTTTAACTAAATAATCATGTTCTCTGCCTAGGTGTGCTGCCAAAGTGATAAGAGCTATTTTGGACTTCAAGACTATGATTGACAAGTGAGTATTATCAGCTCAAGTTAAAAAAAAAAAAATGTAAAAGCTTACAAAGTGGCAGGTATAGAGAGTTATTATTTAAAATTCTATATTCTGTGATTACCTACTGTCAAGAGAATGGTGCTAACGGGATCTGGGTTTACTGTATCACTACAGTATAGTCATTTGGGTTTCCAACCTCCAACCAGGACTGATAACATTTGAAATGTCCATTGTTTTCCTTGTGTGGGGAAATGCACATTACATGGTCAAAACTTCTTCTTTTTTTCTTAGCTTAGCTACCTTGCTATTAATTCCTGATCACATTTTAATTTGTTTTCTCAAAGTTGGTGTGAAATATCAAAAGCTGTGGAAAGCAAACTTGCAAACAAAACAAAACACATACACCATGCTAATGTACTTGTACTTGCACTTGTTATTTGAAATGGCTTTGAGGGTTGTGGATATATATCTAAGTCTGTCGGGAGGGAAATGGGTAATTGTGAGTTCCAGGTATACCATAAACACATCATGTGATCATACCCTGGAAGTTTCAGGTCATTGCAGTATAAAATTGTTGGCATTTCCCTTATAAGGCTGATACTGATTTTCACTGTTTAGTATTATTCCCACACATAAAAATAAGTCCTTGTTTCTTATGTGGCTGAGGTTTAACTTTAATCAAAGTGCCATAGCTTCAGACATGAACAGTAAGAAATTGTTGACACAGGTATCATGTTTAACAGTGAGACAGTACCAGTTGATTACCTGGGAAGAAAACCCCTGTGTATGAACCAGTATTCCCAATTGCTATCATCATGCCGTATTCCGGGCCTGGAGACGGACTCTGTTGTGTTCCATGGCAAGACTTCTTACCCTTCCAGATACATTACATTGGCATATAACAGTCAGGTGAGGAGCACATCATCACACACTTGTCTGACATTCTGGAACTGTATTCATCAGTTTACAAAGAATGGTGTTATAATGCATCTTAGTAGAAAAAGTGAAGTTGAAGATCAAATTATCAAGCAGTTTAAAAGGTGTAGAATGCACAGTTTTCACTGTGCTAACTGCAATTGCATCTTCCACAATCCACAAATCATACTTCTCCAATATTGTTGAGATTCAGCCCTCAACATAAACGGTAATATGTATATCACAGGCACTAGAGACAAGGATTTTCAGGAACTCTGCCAATTCATTTATATTATAAATCATTTTATGGGGGGAGTCAATTCTGGGTGTGCGGTAGGAACATCAATCCACAGTGTGCACCAGTGTTCACATTCGCACAAAAACTGCCACAGGCTCCTGGTAAGAGCATTATACTATGAACAAGTGGAGAATTTTTTATTTTTTATTTTTTTTGTATTTACAACAGTAATAAAGCACAAAATTACAAATAAAGTTGGGTTAAAAACAAAAACATTAGACTGACATCATGTAGATGAGAAGTTCAAATTGCTTTAATAAATATATGTACACTATAAATCTAAGAAAAACAGCTGCATGCAGGTATAAACAAAGTGTTTGGGATCTTATGCCTGACATGTGTGTTCACCTGTCACAGAATGAGGCGTTATTATACAGCTTTACAGAAATCGATAGGAAAAAATTCCTGAAGAATCCTTTATGGCAGCGAGGCTGAATCCATCAGAGGGTGAAGGAGCTCTGCTGCCTCAGAAGTGTGGACTTGAGTGGGAGTAATGTCCATGATGTAGAGCAGTTTGTCTGTACCTCATTTCTGACCAATGATGCTTCCAGCCTTGAGGATCAGTTTGATCCTGCTGGCATCTCTGGCACTGATGCTGCAGATCAAAATGCTGCAAAGCAAAAGCCCCAGACTGCATGGGATGGTGATCATGGCAAAAGGTTTCTTTGCTCACACTGGTAATAAGTGTAAATAAAAATTAAACTCTGTGCTAAATGGATCTATGTCAGATGATGCACATCCAAATTTCTGAAGGAATGTTTTACAACCAGTTTATTCTCTTATGGTGGGCAAGTTCACTCTCTCATACACTCCCTTCCAATAAGGAGCCTTGCTTTTGTGTGTGTCCTTGCTTCAGTTCTTTATGGTGGACGTCTACAATAGTGATGGGACTCCTTTGACTGTGCACCAGCTTTGTGTTCAGCTGGAGAGAATATGCAGCTCTTCGCTGGAGACCAGCACAGAGCCTGTTGGCATCCTCACCTCCTTAAATCGTGACTCCTGGAGCAAATGCTATGACAGATTGATCCAAAGTGAGCACAATTATGCTTTTGTACAGTTGTAAAGAAGCTAATGTATATGTAAGGGGGATTAACTGGGAAACACTGTAATGCAAGCGCTAAACTGATGTTAAAACTAAACGACGTAATACTTGATCATAAGAGGCCAGGTAAAATTGGAATTTCTCCATGTAAGAAAGTTATATTAAGTAGTCAGTGAAAACCAAACTGCTTTATTGAATCTCTGGAAAAACCCTGTTCATCTCATAGCATAGCTTTATTTTATTTTTTTTCATTAAAAAATAAGGTAGAAAAGGGCATGTGGAATAAGAGTTGCCACTATGAGTGTTCATTAATTTGACGAAGGGTGATGTTTTCATAATAAGGGTATAATGGGCACCAGTGGATTACACTAAACTGAGCTCAGTAAACTCTGTCCTGTTTTTCTGAGTGTTTACAGCCAAACCTCACACATTGCCGTTCTGTAATAATACTAGGAATTTATTGAAACAGAGCAGAACTGGACTTAACGGAGCATAGGAATGTTTATATAAATTGGCCAAAATGCAGCTGTTAATGGGACTGAGCTACTACTAAACAGTATGTTGTGTTAGTCATATGCACAGTATTCCCACTCTTATGCTTTCCTCCTTAGACATTTGAGATCATTTATTCCACCAACTGTTTTTGTATTGTTACAATTGATTTCAAGGTGTAATGCAAAGAGTAGAGGGGATGTTTTTAACCTACTTTGAACACTAAAAAGTAATTTGGCAGACGTGGGGAAAATTGGACAGAGGCAGGAAAATCAACCTCATCCTCCCCAGCAAATAGAGTTTCACACACTGCAAAAAAAAAACCCAAAGTGATGCATGCATTTATTAAACTGGCATTGTAACACTATCTTGTCACACAGACTGCTTAAGATCTGATGGTTAATGCAAACAAATGGCATATAAGTGACCCCATACAATCAACTGACTCAATCTTTTATTTATTTTATCGTAGTTTTATCACCATCTTGACACACCCAAAGTCCGTTTGAAGATGCGAGTGGTCCTTGCGGTCTGGTCTTTGTAATCAAAACGACTGTTTTAGAGGAAAAGGGATCAAAAGTTTATTCCATATGGTTGTAATTCTTTTGGTCACTCAGTTGTCTTGGTATTAAATACTAGTGAATAAAAGTAAAATTAGCATTATCACAGGGGAAATGGAGGTGATAATCTGGGTGACAGACACCAAGAATCCCCTGAAAATCAGAAGTGCTGGGACAGGGGGACAGAGACAAGATGACAGTGCATTTGAGAGGACCCTTGTATTAAAATGGCGTTTCCCTATATGGACAACATAATAAAGCTCTGGCTAATTCAGTTTCTATTGACTATCATATACTGCAACATTTGGTCAACAATGAATTATTATTATTATTATTATTATTATCAATGGTAATATACAAGTTATGTATTAACTTCTAAACGTGTAAGTAGGTATAAGTATTTGTCTGAATAAAGACTGAATATGAATGGGTATCATGTATGCTTTGTTTGTTGCATTTGTGTCCAGATAAGCCCAACAAAGAAGCGCTGTCAGCTATCCAGAGGAGCATCTGTGTAGTATGTCTGGATAAAGCCATGCCTCAAGTGCCTGATGACATGTACTCCAGAGGTAATGTCCTCCAGGTAGTGCATGGAGGAGGCAGCCAGTGGAACAGTGCCAACCGCTGGTTTGATAAATCAGTACAGGTGATTTGAATCATAGTAGACAAACTTCATTTGTGTAAAAAATGGTTTGCTCTTTAAGGTGTTTTAAAAAAAAAAAAAAAAAAAAAAAAAAAAAAAAAAAAAAAAAATACAAATAAAATAAAAAAATTCTAGCATCACTTATAAAGTATTTTAAAAATGCATATATAATTGGATACAAAATCACAGAAGTGAGTACAAAGAATATTCTAACAAATCATAAATTTTAACTTTAAAACTTTAGGTGCAACTAGGTTGAACGGTTAGTTGGTTTGTTGTTGTAATTGTCCTAAGTGCCGCATTCAGTACTGTGGACAATGATGTATTATTACAGTGACTAGAGCATGCAATAGGTATCTAATAGACTTGTAGTCAAGACCGCCTAAACCAAGACAACACCAAGACCGGAGGGTATCGAGACCAAGACAAAGTTGAGACGAGACCAAGGCCGAGACGAAAGTCTTTGAACTACAGCCAGATGCTGCTTCGTTTACGGGTGTCAGGCATATTTATGTGTTTTTGCGATGCACTCTCACAGCCCTCCTCACCGCTGTCTACTGTCTCACTCACTTATTGAGAGGACAGACGCACGCTCCACTTGACTGTCGCGTCTCTCACCCTCTCTGTTTTTCACATAATGATATTATCCTATATGCTCGCATGTGATTGGCCACAATATGGAGTGATTGGAGCATAGCTGAGCCACTGTGTGAGAGCTGAGCAGCGAAAGGAAATTAAGTGAGGAGCTGGTACTCGTTCAGTGGGAGTCGACTCTTCTGATTCACTACAAAGCACGGCTCTTAGAGCTGATGTTTTTGCGCATGACCTGAACGTTACGTTGTGTGTCATGGATACTGTTGACTCGGAATCTCCCGACCACTATGTCGATCTGAGACAGCAAGACCGAGGGATCTGAGTTCCACAAGGTTCTGTGCTAGGACCAGTTCTGTTTACATTCTACAGGCTTCTCTTGGGTAGTTTCATTACAAGGCATAGCATACATTTTCACTACTATACAGATGACACACAACAATTAAAGTGCAGGAATGTCTTAAAGGCCTTGATGACCTCTAATTTCCTTCCTGGTCCAGATTAAACCAAGGTTATTGTACTCTGTCCCAAAAAATCTTAGCAATATGGTATTTAACTCTATTACACTCAAAGTTCTTACCTTGACTCCAGTAATACTGTGAGGAATCTTGGAGACCTTGTAAACCAGGATATGTCCTTTGGTGTGCATGTTAAACGAATATGTAGAACTGATTTTCTTCCATTTGCATAAGCATAAAATGAGAAATATCCTGTCTCATAGTAATGCAGAAAAACTAATTCCTGCATTTATTACTTCTAGGTGGAACTACTGTAATTATTAGTTCTTCTTCTTTGAGCAGATTTCTCCTATACTGACTTCTCTTCATTGGCTCCCTGTTAAATCCACAATCTAATTTAAAATACTTTCACAACATACAAGGTCCTGAATAAACACTCCATCTTACTAAGACTTTACAGTACCATATGACCCAATTGGAACATGTGATTGTTAGTCTTTTCTCTGTATTATTGTAGGTTCTTTACATTAAAATATAAAGCAACTTGGGGCAACTGCTATGATTTGGCCTTATATAATGTATTGAATTAAAATATATTCTTGCGTCACAATTTGCAGACAGTCTAAAGATCTACGGAGCAAAACTAAAACTGAAGCACAATGTCTTAATTACTGAAAGATATAGACTAATCCAGCTTGAAACGTAATGCTAATGGCTGTTTTGCCTTCTTTGTTTCAGTTCATTATTGGAGAAGATGGGGGACTTGGTAACAATGTCTCGCATAGTTGTGCAGATGGTACAATTGGTATGGCCTTGACTGATTATGTTTCAGCATCCATGTAAGTATACATTTAAAATGCAGTGTTCTATAGTTTAGTTTTGTTGTTTGGTCTGTTAACAAAAGTCTACTTGACTTCTAAAAATACATTATTCTTCCCCTAACACAGAAAAGTGTATTTCTTTTCCATTAAATTTATAAGACACAAGGATAGACTGATCCTTGTGCTTGGGGCTTGGACATGGAGGCAACAGCCTAAGGAGAGAACTTTCAGTGAAAGCTCATTTCCACTGCTTGTAAAGGCAAACTCATTCTTTCCGCCAATTCATTGACCATAAGTGAGCATGGGGACATAGCTTGACCAACTAAATCAACAGCTTCCCTTTTACCCTCAGCTAACTTCACCACAATGTAGTGGTACAACATCCACATCATTACAGAGCCGGCAAAAGTCCCATGAACAGCTCACTCCTGAACAGGATATTGAGATGAGTTCTACTGGAGGTAGAAATTAAAGATCTCCTGGACCAGGGGGGCTTCTCCCAGATCATCCCAGTGGACCTTTACACATTTAGGCATGCCAACCCTGTTCAGCATCCTCCCCACCACCTCATCAACTCACCACAAGGTGATGCTTAGTTGACCGCTCAGCCCGAGTGTCCAGACCATACAGCCACAGACAGGGCTGGACTGGGACAAAAAATCAGCCCGGGTATTT